GATTGTCTAGTCCAGACTTGATTATTTACAGACCGCCGTCATATAGCGGGAATATTGCTGAGTGCGGCGTTAAACAACAAACAAACAAAACAAAACCTAAGGAGGGTAAGGGGGTTGGGGGGATCGCCATAGAACCTCGCTGTGTTGTCCGTCTTACAAAATATATTTTTTCTAGAAACAGAATGAACTTACAATTATATCTGAAAATGAGGGTTTACCCCCCTTGAACTCTCCTGTGTTGTAAGAATCTACTGATCTGAAGACAACGTTCGGTAATAAAAATGGTGGCCAACAAATCCTCTCGTTTCGACCATATACAAGAAACTGCACATGCGTGGAACGTTTTTCATTCGACAACTTAATAATAATAATAACCATTATAATAATAATCCATTTATATGGCGATGTACTCCATGCATAAGCATGTTCTAAGTGCTTAGACATTTATTACCCCGGTCAATGGATCAGTGTGCGCTAAACAATTATTCTCAGCTCCCTGGGGCGCTTGAAGGTTAACAACCACATTGCCATCTCTTCCTACCGGGCACATTCACTGCTGGGTGAACAGAGGCACAATTCGAACAAAGGAGACGCCACATATGCTGCATGGGCTTCAGGACCGAGGCCTTAGAAACTCTCAGGAACGCGGTCACCCATCCAAGGACTCTCTGCGACCGACGTTGCCTAAAGGGCAAGTTCACACGAAAATAAACCTATTTTTTTCTACTTAGGAAGTGTTATCCGAAATATAACATTTGTTAAATTTGACCACTTCCTAAATGGCATTGTGAATTCATAGCTTTCGGCAATGGGAGCCGTGCCAGTTTACACTTGTCAGAGGGGTACACAAAATACGTGATCTAGACTACCAGTTGCCGGACTTTCATTTTGTGGAACATCGGTGGCTGGTTATTTTAGATCGCCGACTTTGTGTGCTAGCGATTAGGTGCCTCACTTTGGCAGTGTGCGTTCGAATCGTCCACAAAAAGAACGAGAATCTGTACTTCACTAAGAAAGAGTTATTCCACATATAAGATTTGTTCTTTTTTTCTTGTACTATTTCATCATGAAAAGTATTTACCTAGCAGTTTCAGAGGCAAAACAACACACATATCACAAGTACCTAATTTATTTTATTCATTATATAGGTTCATATTTTTCACATTTACCGAGAAATATATTCCATAATAAACACACCATGGCTTATGCCCCTTGCAATATGACGTCATTGGTACCAGTTGATAAAGGAATGACGTAATAAAACTTTATTAGACTCGTTTCACGTGGTGTAGGTACAGCGGGGTGTGGTTCTATCTTCTCAGATGCGCAGCCTATTGTATTGCTCAAAACACAACGCTAAGCACAATTAATCTAAATTATGTCTTTTCCAAAATCGCAACTGAGAAGACAACAATGCATGGATAACATACTGTAAGATACCCGATGATGGTTGGCAGGGTCCGTTGTATGAATTGCGCTTATTCGTTCATTTGTGTTGCGGATATTGACTCTTGCTGAGTTGCTGTCGTGTTCCGTGAGAGTTTATACCTGCTGGTTCTAAGACTGATCGGAAGCGGATGGTGTACGAACCTTATATGGAAACGGGCTAAAGGGACAGCACTCTCATCAAGACCCTGACCTGGCTGTTTCTGTAAACAAATGCTGTAAAGTTGAAGTAACTCGGGTAAGTTTGCTGTTTAGTTATTAAATAGATAAAATCTTACCACAGTCGTATTTAAGGAATGTGGTTAATCAGGAGTAAGGTGATATTTGTTCGTTTCACTTGATTATCCTGAATATCCGCGATGCTGTCTCGTTTCCTGCATGGTTATGTCGCTACTCCGTCATCAGCTGATCATTGCAGTATGCAGCTAATTCATGCTGGTGGAGTAAGTTGTGTTACGTATGTTGTCCCTCTACAATATTCATGAGTGGGCGTGGCTTATGTATGCACGTGACACTATCTTCCGTAAAGCTAGTTCACGCCTGACGAACGCATCGCTGTCTCGCCTGTCATTGCGTGATACGATGTTTCACTCACAATCGTATACATCAGGTATATAATATGTAGTTTATGTGTCTTTGAAGATTGTGCTGTACTGTATTTGCGAGCCTCGACTTCGGACAGATCGAAAATTTCGCGAATTACAGAGTCAACCCAATGCCGAAATTTCGAAATGAAATCTTCCAAAAGTTTACCCTTGTTATTTGTCTGAACACTACCCCAGAGTGGATTGTGCCCATTCAAATCACCCATAATATTACAGGGCTTGGGGAGTTGATCATAAAGAGCTTGAAGTTCAGATTGTCGAAGGGAAGAATATGGTGGAATATAGAGCGAACACAAAGTAAAAACTATCTGTAAGGTTACAGGGACGACTACAGCTTGAAGAGGAGTAGCAAGATGAACAGGGCTGCGGATAACGCCGTGTTTCTTGAATATTGAAGAACCTCCAGTGGCTTTTGCACCTGGAGGTGAAAAGACATTGTAGGAGGTATAACCTCTTATATCGAATTTATCAGTGTCTTTGTGATATGTTTCTTGTTGACATATAACGGATGGTTTGAAATCCTGAATTAAAAGTTGTAAATCATTATAATTATTCTTAAGTCCTCTACAGTTCCATTGTATTAAATGTGATGATTGAGTCACGGCGGCTCAATGGGTGATCTCTCACGTGAACGTGAGGAAGAAGACCTCCTATCGCTACTGTCTGACGATGGAGTCACCCCCATGTCTAAAGCACTGAAGGAGTTGTGGAGAGATATTTCTGAAGGAGACGGGGTATTGGATGTCTGATTTCTATTTAACTTTTTTCTTTGTTTTTGTGATAATTTTCGGTCCAGAACAACTGGTTCTTCAGGAGGAGTCTGAGACAAAGTCTGAGTCTCTGCCTGAACACTATCGGGTGGTGATGCAGACTGACTGTCAGATACATCGATGTTAGTGATAGACGCAGTGATAGACTGGTTGAACAGAAGTTACCCATGTCAAATCGGTTTAACACTGAACAGATGAAGTGGTTTTAACAGGATTTGCCACAGGAGGAGAGGAATTTAGAGTTGAAGGGGATCTTGACTGATTGCCAAGCTTCCTAGCATCTGCAAAAGATATGTTTTTTCACATTTTAGTTTCAGAATTTGTGTTTCCGTTTGATACACAGGGCAGGATTTGGAAGTGGCCATGTGTTGGCCTTCACAGTTGATATACTTTAGATCTAGACTACAGTCTGTACGGTCATGGTTGCCACCTCAACGATTACAAACGATAGAGCGTGTACAGGTTTTTGAACCATGTCCAAACTTTTGACACTTATAGCATCGGAGTGGATTGGGGACATACACCTCCACTCCGATTTTAACATAACCAGCTTTAATTGAGTTCGGAACCGTTGGACGGTCAAACGTGAACAGATATGTGTTCGTGTTAACGATATTGGATTTTTCATCATTTTGGGTGAAACGTTTAACTGACTGACCTCCTTGATTTTGAAGTTCTGAAACAATTTCAGCTTCTGACATACCCGACAGTGAACGTGTCCTGTCACGGACAATGCCACGGCAAGCGTTCAGAGTACGGTGTGCAGAAACAACAACCTTCACATTAGCAAACCGGGTGATTGATAATAAATTGATAGATTGCTGCTTTCGCACACATTCCACCAAAAGAGATCCACTGCGCAAACGTGTCAACCATCACCGCAATAGCCATGAACAGCTTTAGATATAGAGAAAGGATTCAATTTGATTGGTTCATGATCTGCAGCTTCAATCACAAGGAATCGAGCCCAGGAATCAACATGTGTATCAGTCTCAGACGAACTTGTATCTAAATGCCTTCGTTTAGAACCTGAATGATTTTGAGCCATGGTGAAAGAAAATAATTCAGCAACCCTGTTCCCCACTCACCATGGGGTGTCAACAACGACAGTGTTAAATTGCATCGGATCTCCAGGATGCAAACACCAGGGATACAGGGCTGTTATGCGCCAGTGAATATGACACAAATGGCAATATTTGTATACCAAATAAATGCCAGACTGGTTCTGCCCATGACAATAAAATGTATATATTGAATTTGGAGGTCAAAAACACCAGATTGGCCCATTAGCCACCGCCTTCTGGTTTTGGACTCTAGGCAAAATTTTATAGCATAACATTTTCATAAACAACATTCAATTACAGCAATCAAATAATGCAGAAGAATTTCAACATGAATGTTTCCCATACACAGGGCATGGCGTGACCAGCCGATTGATAGAACCGGGCCCATTCTACCACCCGTCTGGGTGAAGTTAGGGTCGAAGTGGTTTGTTGGGCAAAAGGAACACCGAACACCGGTGCCCTCAACCACCAGAATCCCGTCCTCCACCGACACAGGGGCGCAACCCACGGCAAACAGGTTGCCCAATTTGATCGCCTTTTACGACAAGCAATGGGTTGCTGAGGACACATTCTACCCCGGGTCCACACGGGGGAAGAGCGATTAGCGTTACCCAGCACTCACCACGGGGAGGTTGCGTTTCACGAGTGCCATGAGGACATGCAACAACCAAGTCAGTGAGCCTGACCACCCGGTACCGTTAGTCGCCTTTTACGACAAGCATAGTCGCCTTTTACGGCAAGAATGGGTTGCTGAAGACCAAATTCTACCCCGGATCTTCACGAGGGACAATCAAACGCGCCCTCATTAAACGCTGTCAGAGAATATAGGAGGCAGGTGGTGTTCAGTTGTCATCGTATTTGATAGTTGAATTACTCTGATATGGCACGGGCGTGTGAGTGAGTGAATTAGGTTTAACGCCGTTTTAAACAGTATTCTTCTTATATCACAGCGTATCAGTTTAATATGAGAGGAAAGCCCGAAGTGATACAGGTTTCAGACCTTTACCACTTCGGTGAAACCCACGACCACAGGTATGGTGCTGACAAACCTAGAAACATAATCGGGGTGAAACGGGATTCGAACCCACAATCATAGGTTTCTGGCGTGTTCAAGGGACGAACGTCTGCACAGCGAATCGCGGCGACTGGGCCACATGTACCTAATTCTGAGTCACGACGAATGGAATTTACTATTTCCTTGTGAGCACACCGTGAATAATTATTCATCCTTCCACTGCTCAACCGGATCCATGCTTGTTTGGAAACACTGATTTTGAACGCATCGCCCGAACACAGTATCCACTGTTTACTGACGAGAGGACGTATGCGACGGAACAAGGTAAGTCTGAATGTTATTCCACATATCTAGGAGCGCTGGTTTATCAATCTGAGAGACACGTGGACTAGTCCATAAACTAAACTAAGGCACGTCCATAAACTTTCTGTCGCAAAATATTGATCGGTATTTTTAACAGAGAAGCCGGAACGAGGAAGTAGTTTATTTTTCAATAAGTGGAGATATATCTATATTACGTCTACACGTGCACATACCTTACTTACCTGTCACCAGTATTGCATTGTTGTTAGTTTATTCCTAATGGTTTTAGGCTGCGAACATCACTGACCATGTAGGAATGTAATTCAAGTGTGACAGTGCGTGGGAAGGGGTCATGTGCACCAGACCATCGTCTTTTGTTACACCCAAGTCAAGAGGGGACAAGACACTATTGAAAACGAGGGGTGCGGTTTGTGAACGAGTTAACATACATGTGCAAAATGCCGCTAGATGTAGTTGGTAGTCGTGTTGTTTTGAACACCTGACAAGAAAAATGAATTACATATAACTGCTTCGTATGTTTCATTAGGGCTAGGCAACAATGATCCCGTCATTACAAATAGGACAGGCTCGTTAGTCAGCAATAATAATGAGTTCAGAGGTCACATGACAATGACGATCCAAAACGTATTAGTTTCCTGATGATAACTTGAACACATATTTGAAAACGAGATCAACGTTATAAATATGAGACGTCAGTATTGTGATGTATGAATGAAATGTGATAAATGCAATTCAAATGAAAGACGTTGACACAAATAAACATAAGTGTATAATAACTTATGATGAATAATGCTTATGATAATACGAAGGGTAATGATATGAATGCAATGCAATTGAAAGAAATAGATATTAAAAACCTCCCAATAATTTGATAATTTCAGTTTCTGCTTTTCAACGTGTCCACAAATGGACTGTCTCATTTTATTTGAGAGGTTGGTCAGTTTTTTTAAGTTTAGGTAGAATGAGAAGTCACCGTGGATAGAACGTTTGTCCGGAGAGCGGAAGGTCCGAGGTTCGATCCCTCGGGTGCGTCATACCAGAAGACGTTACAACATGGTACTTGTTGCTACCTTGCCTGGCGCTCGGCATTAAGGGGCTAAAACAAGGACGTCGGCTCGGAGTCAGTATACTGCGTCTGGGTGGGATATGGGATATGTTAAACTGCGGCATGGTATCTCAGTGAGCATGCGGACTAGTACACGCACACACACACACACACACGCACACACACACACTCTCTCTCTCACACACTCACTCACACACATACGATCTCTCCCACACACACACTATCTCTCTCTCTCTCACACACACTCTCTCACACACTCTAACACACACACTCTCCCTCTCTCACACACACTTTAACACACACACACTCCCTCTCTATCTCACACACACACTCTCCCTCTCTCACACACACTCTAAACACATACACTCTCTCTCTCACACACTCTCCCTCTCTCTCACACACACACTTCCTCTCTCTCTCACACACACACACATACGATCTCTCCCACACACACTCTCTCTCTCTCTCTAACATACACTCCCTCTCTCACACACACAAACTCTCTCTCACACACACACTCTCCCTGTCTAACACACACGCGCGCACGCACGCACGCACGCACACACACACACACACACACACGTGCATGCATTGACATGGCTATATTAATGCAAAAATCTGGAACGCGACCTAAAACTCCATTTCACCTCACCAGGAATTGAATAAGTCGCCGTAAACGAAACAATAATGTGCATTCTTTTCTACAGAATCGCAGTTTTTCATTTACTTACAGACAAAACTTACAGACCTGAAACCCACACGTGTATGGTGAGTGAGTGAGTGAGTTGGGTTTAACGCCGCTTTTAACAGTATTCCAATTATATCACGGCGTGTTAGCTTAATGTGGGAGGAAAGCCCGAAGTGATGCAGGTCTCAGACGTTTACCACTTCGGTGAAACCCACGAGCACGGGTATGGTGCTGACAAACCTAGAAACATAATTGGGGCGAACCGGGATTCGAACCCACAATCATAGGTTTCTGGCGTGCCCAAGGGACGCAACTCTGCACAGCGAATCGCGGCGCCTTAGACTTAGACTGGGCCACCCGTGCCCCCACATGTGTATGGTACTATCCGGGGGAACTACATGTATTCTTAAAGATGGATGTGTTCCGATAAGTAAATTTGTAACCTGTACCTCACCATAAGAATATCATAAGTGTTCCACAAACAAACAAAAAACAAATCACATTTACGAGCATGCAATTGTCTTTCCAGATTCACCTTCAGACTTAGTTCTTTACAATGGAAGATGCTATTCAAAAGATTCAGCTAACTATAGCATATAAATGTTTTCTTCTTAATGTTTTCCTTAATTTTCAAGTTCACGTCCGTGTAGATTGGTTTTCTTGTTGTTTCAGCATCATAGAACACATTTCTCTCTCCACTGCGTGAACATCTTGTGTTGGAATAACGATGATTGTTTTTCAATGTCTGGGAAATGTCCACTGAAGAGAGCATATGTTGAATACCTGCAGGAACCTGCTACGTTAGGCATTTCAAAAACTGATGTTCCGAAAATAAAAGTCTACGTCTGACATAATGAATCTGACGTAATGAATGAATACTAAATATCTGAATACTGCAGCCATCCAAGCTAGCGACCCCGGCAGTGTCTTGTTTAGTTATTCAAGACTGTGAGTTCAAATTATTTCATGACAGAGCCTTATCATTATCTCACCTAATAATTTAGTAATCTAATATGGTTCATGTCTTTATGGTAGTAGTGGGCGCGTCCTCTCACAAGAAGATGTGTAAGATGAGGTGAAATGGTGTTTAACAGCGCGTCCAAGTGAGTGAGTGAGTATGGTTTTAGGCCGTTTTTAGCAATATTCCTACAATATCGCCCGGGGGACACAAGAAATGGGCTTCACACATTGTACCCATGTCGGGAATGGAACCCGGGTCTTCGGCGTGACGAGCGAACGCTTTAACCGCCCAAGATTATTGCACTTATGCAGCGACGTGTGTGTATGCGTGCGTGCGTGCGTGCGTGCGTGCGTGCGTGCGTGCGTGCGCTCGTTAGCCCGGAATGATGCCGATTTCTGTGCTAGCCCACTGCTATACCATGCCGCAGTTTAACATGAATACCCCACTCAGACACAGTATACTGACTCCGAGCCAACCAGTCCTTGTCATAGCCACTTAATGCCGAGCGCCAGACGGGGTAACAACAAGTACCATCTTTTAACGTTTTTTGGTATGACGCGGCTGGGGATCGAACCCCGGACCTTCCGCTCAGAAGATGTCTAATTGTAAAAAAAGTGTTTAATCCTTGTCCGATATCTTACATGTGTTTTGATACCTAAATATGTTTGTATCCTAAACTGTTTAGAATGCAAACGTCTTAAATTATCAAAGAATATCATACAATAGTCAGATAATGAAGTACATTTAATATCTAAGTGTGTTTGGGTTGGGTGATGTTATCAAATAAGAATATGTGATTGATCACTTAAAGAATTAAATGGTATCACACAACGATCGACATTTCTCTTCTGACTTATGACCCGCCGTGATATTGCTGGAATATTGCTAAAAGCGGCGTAAAACCATACTCACTCACTCACTCACACTGACTTATGCTTGATTTCATTGCACTGTAATCACATTTCCCCCAAGTCTCTGCGTGAGTTTGATATAACTACTGTTACAACACTAGATCTGCTGTAGACGTACGCTCAAAACATTTTGAGATCTTTGGATGTTGTGATCTTTGGATGCTGTGATCCTGGCGCGTGTTATATAAAGCCTCTGATCCTTTTTAGGACATGTACACAAATCCTAAGTGCCTGTTTTATACGTTAACACATTTTTAATGTCATCGTATCCCAATTGCGTGGGTCGATACTCATGATGTCAATCACTGGATTGTCTGGTCCAGACTCGATTATTTACAGACCACCGTCATATAGCTGAAGTATTGCTGAGTGCGGCGTTAAACAACAAATAAACAAAACAAATAACACATTTTTACAGTGTATAAATGTGGTAATATCCTATTTCATTGTACGAAATCTTATTGGCAGATTTAGTATTGCAAAATGTATTTTACAGTGTGTTTGTTTATTTGATAATATGAGGTAAAGGTACATTCCCCTGTGTTATTATTAAACTGAAAACATGTTATTTTCATGTAGACTGACTCATAATTGAAAGTATATTAATTTATCCTTACTAAAATATATATCATCAGTTGCATTTACAAAAATGTTTCAGAACATGTAGGGAAAACGTCACTCACAAACGTTATACCCCCAAACCATTTAAATGAACAGCGCACGCGTTTTTGTGCATGAATAACATTTTGGACAATACAGTTGTATTTAGCTTAAAAAACTGTTTATAAAAAAAATCATGTCAGATATAAGTGACATGACTCTTTCTGAGATGTGTGAACATTACGGAAAATGGTGTTCGTAGATACAGAAAAAGATGGTCTACAATGGCTAACGATGTTGAGTCCAGTAGTCCGTTTGGGAGTCAATTGGATTCAAGACGAGTGACATGTGATTAAAAAAGTCGGGGTAGGCAAGTAGCAACAAGATTTCAAGTCTTAAGGAAACCTATCTGTCAAACAAGTGCTAGTTCGTTAACAGGCCTAACAACTGCATTATTCCAATAGAGGTTAGCACACCACCAACTGTCGCAGAGTGTGTTCGATGAAGTAAACTTCGTTTTCTGATAATAATAATAATAATAATAATAATAATAATAATAATAAACAAAACATTTTCAATATCCAATAGAAATCTCTGCATAAACAGAGTCGATTGTACGATTCCGACTATATCATGAGCATGTGTTTATGAATCACTATGAAATAGAAATGATACCAGGTGTTCGCGAAAAGGTGAGCGTATCCTGCTTCACTGGTGGCATCCGTCACAAACACATGCAAAGGCAAGTCAATTCTTCACCTAAAAAAAACACGGGAACATATGGTACAAGGCTACTCTTAATTGTTTTGTGTTTAACAAATATATATGCTGCCTCTTCTTGATGCGTCTTTAATAATGCGCTTCGACCAACTAGATGTATAACGCATTATACCTGACAATACAGATGTGTTGGGCCTGATTCATACTTGCTGATGCGATACAAATGACCCCTGGTCAAAACACATTTGTTTTGTCAATAAGTGTATCCATGTCCCACACACCAAGAGCATATACACTGTTCTTGCATATCAACAACATTACATGGATTTTATTGAGCAGGTTGCTTGCCATCACAGGCGACTATGCTTGCCGTAAAAGGCGACTAACGGGATCGGGTTGTCAGGCTCACTGACTTGGTTGATGCATGTCACCGAACCCAATTGCGTGGAAAGATGCTCATGATGTCAATCACTGGATTGTCTGGTCCAGACTTGATTATTTACAGACCGTCGTCATATAGCAGGAATATGGCCAAGTGCGGTGTTTAACAACCAACCAACCCAATAGTGTGGATTGATGTTCATGATGTCAATCACTGGATTGTCTGGTCCAGACTCAATTATTTACAGACTGCCATCATATAGCTGGAATATGGCTGAGTGAGGCGTTGAGAGTTTAAATCTTTAAATGGTATGCTTATTCAGCAATATTGAAACTGTTTACGTACATTCCAATAATATTGAAAAATAGAGTCAACATTCCTTTCTATGGATATCATGGAATGGTGATTTAGAGGCATTTGTCTTCAAGGGTATGTGGTTGATTAAAGTCAAATTTCAAATGATAAATTTCACCTGGAGGGAGCTTTTTAAAACATTCTCTCAGTTTCTTTACATAAAGACGAATACTAGGAAGTTTGGATTTTGAAACAGCATGTCGCATAAATAAGTCTTTATTTGTTTTTTATTGTGTGTGTGTGTGTGTGTGTGTGTGTGTGTGTGTGTGTGTGTGTAGGCGGGGAGAGATGAAGGCTATTGTAAACTTTTTTTAAACAATTTTTAAGTACAAATACATTCCGAAATTAAGATAATAGGTACGTGTGTTCCATTGGCATATGCCGTATGTTCTAATTGCATGTTGTTGTACTGGCAAATTGACGCCAACAGTGTCAATTACTTTCTGTTTCAGATGGCCGCCGCTAGAAAGCTGGAGAGGCTGAATGAAAACCTCTTGTCTTGTTCCATATGTACAGAGGGATACAAAGACCCTTGTACTCTGACCTGTGGCCACACCTTCTGTAAGGGCTGCCTTGCGGAATTCCTGAAGACCAGACAAGACGCCATCAGAGCCAAGTCCATCCTGTGTCCCTACTGTCGTCAGATGACCCGAGTTCCCCAACCTGACAGACCAGTGGAGGAGTGGGTGAAACAGATCAAGCCCAGTTTCCTCATACAGGGACTACTGGACACTCTGGCATGTGAGGAAAATCTTGCTGGTGGTACGTGCTGACAAATAGAAAAAAACCAATATCCCAACCTTTTTTAATTTAACTATTATTGCCTGATTAAATTATATACATGTAACACGATAAAAGAATGCATTCAGTGCAACGTATATAAGTGGTAACAAAGTATGTTATGACTGCTCCTGTAAATAAAAACGACAAAGCCCTTTCCATTTTTACAAGAAATCTCTTCCAAAAGCAGAGTCGATTGTACGATTCCGACTATATCATATCAACATGTGTTGATGAATCATTACCAAATAGGGTTGATACAAGGTGTTCTGAAAAGGTGGGGGGAACCTGACCCAAAGGTGGCACGCGTCCCTTGTCACATGTCAAGGCAAGTCAACTGTTCATCTGAAAAAAACCACATGAATGCATGGTAAAATAGGAAATTGCAAACGATATAATTTTTATCACCGATGCGTCAAATACCATAAAACGTTTTGAAAGTTTTACTGAGGCTTTGAATGATGTAACCTTGATCAACAACTTCTGAACAATGAGCCTCATGATGCTCTTTGGAATCTTGGCAGGAAGAGCATCCTCGATTGTACCTCAAAAGTTGTGAATTTTAGCACCAAAGACTGAAGGTGCAGAATACTGTTCAATATAAAGGGAAAGACTATTGAAAAGTTGAAGTCATCCCTCTTGTTATATACTCATACAGAAGAGAATTGACTATTTGATGGTTATTGAACGATATCAGATCATCGATATACCTGAAGCTTAAGTTTGACTTCTTGGCCAAATTACATTGTTTTGACTTTGCTAATCCGAGCTGAAATTCCGATTCAATTGCATAAAGAAACAGATCCGCAACAAGGGGAGCACACTTGATGCCAATGGGGATGCCTACTTCTTGCCCAAATGTCTTTCCCCCATATTCCAGCAATTCAATATTGTTTTCACAGAAGACTTCAAATGACATTTGCTTTCATTTGTGACAGTGCTTGACTAAGATGCTTTCCTGAAGTGAAGTTTAAAAAGACGCCGCACTCAGCAATATTCCAGCTATATGACGGCGGTCTGTAAATAATCGAGTCTGGACCAGACAATCCAGTGATTAATATCATGAGCATCGATCCACGCATTTGGGATCGATGACATGTATCAACCAAGTCAGCGAGCCTGACCACCCGATCCCGTTAGTCGCCTTTTACGACAAGCATAGTCGCCTTTTACGGCAAGTATGGGTTGCTGAAGACCTACTCTACCCCGGAATCTTCACGGGTCACTATCGAGTTGTCAATGTCAAGTGAAAGACGTGATGATTTGTAAGAGGCTGTGTCTGTGTATATGAATTGATTCGTACACTTAAGTTGTGTGGTAGTGATGAGCATGGGTCTGAAGCCCAACTACGAGTGTATTGAAAACAACATCTGTATTGAATACATGTGTATTAAAATAACATTTGAAACTCAAAAACAAGAAGAATTTGTGAATAAACTTTCTCAAAACAGCTCTGTCTGTTTGTCATGCTGAATAAGGTTTTCCTTTGTCATATTTAGGTACTGACAGCTGTTGCAGCTTCTGCCGGAAACTTGGAGACACAAATCCAGCTATCTCTTGCTGTCAGGACTGTGATGTCCCACTCTGTGAGAGATGTGTGAAGATGCACATGGCTGTTCCTGCTACATCGAATCACACGATCGCTGATCTTGGAGGAGCAGTGAAGATCACAGGAAAAGAAAGACCAATTTGCAAGGATCACAACGAAGTCGTGGATGTATGCTGTAGAGACTGCAACAAAGCAATTTGCCAAAAGTGTTGTACTATATATCACAGGAAATGCGATTCTGTGGTCACTCTTGAGTCCTTGATGTCTGAAATGGAAAGTGTTCTGGAACAGAATAAGAAACTGATCACACAAAGGTTTGACGACAGGAACAAATACCTTCTACAACACAGATCACAGATTGATGATATCAGCCACAACAAAGACGCAGTAGAGTCACAGATCAGACTGGAGTCACAGAAAGCCATGGACGTGATTAAACGGAAGGAGAAACAGCTGCTGGAGGAGCTGAATGAGATGACAGAGAAGCAGTCTGGACAACTGAGGGGATGGATAAAGTCAGGGGAAATAGACATGCAGATGTATCAACAATACATAGAGTACATCACCCAGGTGTTGAAGTCTGGGAGTGAGACTGACATGTTTCACATTTACCAGATGTGTCGGTCAGGGGCAATCAAGGAGGCAACAGGCAGGGAAGTCGATTTCACAGACAGAATAAGTGATTCACAACCAGTCTTCGTCAGTGAAATAGATGTGAAGAAATTTGACAAGGATGTGCGACTTGGTAGACTAAAGCACAATACATTTGACAAAATTGAAGGGCCACTTTGTAAAATACAGGATGACTCTTTTAACGTCAAGTGCACACCAGTGTTACACAAAACATTCGATATCAGGGTTGAGGGCGACAAGAAGAAGCCCGATCCAGCTGATGTCGCAGTCCTGGTCGTTGATGGCGTAGAGGCACTGGTGGTCTCTGACTACAATAATAACTGTCTGAAGTCCCTCTACACAAAGAACAACCAATCCCTGTACAGTAAACTAGATCTTGCAAGTGAACCACTCACTGTGACGCGGTTGAGTGACAACCAGGTAGTTGTATCTTTCTGGTCACGCAATGAAATTGTAACTGTACAGGTGACCCCTGACCTTGTACTACAGTCACGCGTACCAACACAGAAGACGTACAGATGTCTGACAGCCTTGAGCCCTTCAACATTAGCAGCAGGCTGTTGGCATCCTCCCTGTGTTGACATCCTGGATGTATCGGGGAGGGTGTTGAGGTCAGTCAGTTCACTCAGTACTGGGGATAACCTGATAAGCAGATCCAGGTTCCTCTGTAGTACAAACGAGGGCAACATCCTGGTGTCAGATGGTGGGTACGTCTACTGTATTACCCCCGAAGGAGATGTTGTCTTTATCTACAACCCTAAAGGAGACAGAAGACTGAGGGGACCACAAGGCATGACAACTACCAGCACAGGACACATCCTTGTGGCAGACAACTGGGCACACAAGGTGGTAGTACTGACAGCAGCAGGGGGGTTTGTCAGAGACCTGCTGACATCACAGGATGGAATTGAGAAACCATTCGGTTTGTTTCGCTGTGAACAGAAACTGTATGTTGCGCAACAAAACGAAACTGTTAAAGTTTATACGTCTCAGTGAATTCTCTGTTACATTTAATTCACGTTACAGATTCACGTGGATCACATTAATAGTTCGTTTCCACGAACCTTACTTTAAATGTGAATGTGTGCTTGTATTTGTGTTGTGTGGCAAAAAACAACTCGTTCATTCAGAAAAAATAGTACACTTCAAAAGAACTATTAGTTGACTTGTTAGATGAACCTGATTAAACTATCTCCTCCTTGTTCATTATGATTGATTGTGTGCATAGATACGGGAGTGGCATAGACACCTGTACATGCAGAACTCTTATGCTTGTAGTGACCGCCTCCGTGGTCTAGTGGTAGAGCGTCCGCCCGGCGAGCGGAAGGTCCGGATTTCTTAAAAATGGTACTTGTTGTTACCCTGTCTGGCGCTCGGCATTAAGGGGCTAAAACAAGGACTGGTCGGCTCGGAGTCGGTATATTGTGTCTGATCATGAGTTGGGGTATTCATGTTAAACTGCGGCAAGGTATCTCAGTGAGGTAGCACTATAAATCATTCCGGGCAAGTACAAGCAGACACACACACACACACACACACACACACACACACACACACACACACACACAGTGTGTCGGATAATTCTGGTTAAAGGGGGATAATTTTGTGAGTTCCATTGTTTAACATTTATATGAACTTTTAAACTACAAGTTTGATTGTGGTGTTGCGCACAAAAGTGAACATTTAACATGTTTATATTAATGTTCATAAATTGTGGTCCTGTATTAAATTACAAACATGTTCTTTGGCCTGTGGTCTTGAATATTGAATAAAGACTTGAAGCTGAACTTGAACATAAATTATACGATGTACAATGTTACTATTATTTCCCTATTAAAGCATACAATTCATCCAGTCAGTGGCATGATGCTGTTTAAGGTCCTAACCAACCCAGGGGCGGTCGGGTAGCCTAGTGGTTAAAGCGTTCGCTCGTCACGCCGAAGACCCGGGTTCGATTCCCGACATGGGTACAATGTGTGAAGCCCATTTCTGGTGTCCCCCGCCGTGATATTGCTGGAATATTGCTAAAAGCGGCGTAAAACCATACTCACTCACTCACTCCTAACCCACCCTAGTCTGGCGTAGACGAGCATTATCATCCTGGTAAATATGTGCTACATTTAGGTGAGTGTGTTTGAATGGAATGACAGTATTTTCGATGATGTTATGATTGTACTTATCACAATCATCTTTCCATGGATCACTTTGATCTCAACTGTGGCATAATACCTGAAGGCAGCCCACACCATTACTGCCCCTCTTCCCACAGCACCAGTGGGCAAGACCCGTGAAGATCCGGGTTAGAACAGGTCTTCAGCTACCCATGCTTGCCGTAAAAGGTGACTATGCGTGTCGTAAGAGGCGACTAACGGGATCGGGTGGTCAGGATCCCTGACTTGGTTAATGCATGTCATCATATCCCAGTTGTGTAGATCGATGCTCATGATGTCAATCACTGGATTGTCGGGTCCAGACTCGGTTATTTACAGACCGCCGTCATATAGCTGGAATATTGGTGTTTGCCAGTAGATCAGTGAAACAGACCAGATGAACTAACATAAACACGATTATCTGATGTTGGACCAGCAACGTAAACGCTGAAACTTACAAACGCGGCGACGGGTGATTTAGTCAAATAAATATCAGGTTTCCATGAGAATTGTGTATTTAATGATAAAAACATTTAAATTGGTCATTCGTGTGTGTCGCTATCTGTCTAAGTAATAAGTCCAATAATCTTCCATTTATGAGTGAGTGAGTGAGTGAGTGAGTGAGTGAGTGAGTTGGGTTTAACGCCGCTTTTAACAGTATTCCAGTTATATCACGGCGTGTCAGCTGAATGTGGGAGGAAAGCCCGAAGTGATGCAGGTCTCAGACGTTTACCATTTCGGCGAAACCCACGAGCACGGGTATGGTGCTGACAAACCAAAATCATAGTTTTCTGGCGCGCCCAAGGGACGAAAGTCGTCTGCACAGCGAGTCGCGGCGCCTGGTCCACCCGTGTCCCCTTTTCATTTATGAGTTTCAGACATGTCATTTCGGGTCATGGAGCCAATGTGCAAAGCGTCACAATGCTATAGCCCAAACACGGTTTTATGGGACATGACACGACGGCCACATGCATACCCAACACGAACTTGGTGACATATGCGCGTGCAGATCACGTTGTTAAAATGGAGGGGATTTGATATGATGTGGGATAGGCAAACGTGGTATCACAAATTCATGACATAAATTTTGGTTTGCTTCACATTTTACCATCATGATAAAGGGAATACATTTCATACGCATGTCAGTGGTAACAGAACATCCAGGGTAGAACAAGTCTTCAGCAACCCATGCTTGCCGTAAAAAGACGACTATGCTTGTCGTAAGAGCCGACTAACGGGATCAGGTGGTCAGACTCGCTGACTTGGTTGGGGCATGTCATCGTATCCCAATTGCGTAGATCGATGTTTATGATGTCAATCAGTAGATTGTCTGGTCCAGACTCGAATATTTACAGACCGCCATCATATAGCTGGAATATTGGTGAGTGCGGCGTTAAACAACAAACAAACAGACAGAAAGTATGTTATGGCCGCTTCATCTAGCTGATACTTTACGCTCACATTTAACTGCGGTTCAGTTCCAGTCATAAGTCGGGTAGCCTCGTGTTTAAAGCGTTCGCTCGTCACGCCGAAGACCCTGGTTCGATTCCTTACATGGGTACGATGTGTGAAGCCCATTTCTGGTTTCCCCCGCCGTGATGTTGCTTGAATATTGCTAAAAGCGGCGTAAAACCATACTCACTTACTCAACCCAGTTATAAGTATTCTCTTTTCCCTGTGTTGGCATAGCGTAAATCTCAATACATTAATTGTAAACCTCAGGGGTAAGTAGGTGAGGTGAAATTGGGTTTAACGTCGCGTCTAAGATTATTGCACTTACATAGCGACGTGCATGCACGTGTGTGTGGCTGCTTGTACTCGTCCGGACTGATGCCGATTTATAGTGCTGATTCATCACTGAGATACCATGCCGCAGTTTAACATGAATACCCGATTCGGACACAGTATACTGACTCCGAACCGACCAGTCCTTGTTTTAGCCCCTTAATGCCGAGCGCCAGACAGGGTAACAACAAGTATCATCTTTTAACGTCTCTTGGTATGACGCAGACGGGGAGCGAACCCCGGACCTTCCGCTCTTCGGGCGGACGCTCTACCACTAGACCACGGAGGCGGTCGGGGGTAAGGAAGACAGAATGCAGAGCATATATAATTCTACGGAGTGTTTCATGTAGTTAAGAAACAAACAAAATAGGACGACAGAAAATATCCCAATGCAGATGTGTGCTGAACCGGTGCTTATCTATGGTCGTACGTGGAAAACACAATGATGTTCTCGTCGCGTTAACGATGTGAGGTTGTTCACGGTATTGGTCAACTTCGCCCAAACGCAACAGTCCCCAAACAGTTGTGCGTGCTTGCTCATGGGGTCACAGACTGTGACAGGAGATCCGATTCCCTTTGTAACCAGTCTCGTTGTGTCTGTCAAGTAAACGTCTCTGTATTCGGACCACTGTGTTGCATGTCATGTGGACCTGAAAACCCTACAACGAGCTGGCTGCTGTTTCTTTCAATATTGAGAGTGAATGAGCGAATTTGTTGAATTTAACGCCTTGTTCAACATTTTGTTTTGTCTAACGTCGCACTCAGCAATATTCCAGCTATGTGACGGCGGTCTGTAAATAATCGAGTCTGGACCAGACAATCCAGTGATTGACATCATGAGCATCGATCCACGCAACTGGGATAAGATGACATGCACCAACCAAGTCAGCGAGCCTGACCACCCGATTCCGTTCGTCGGCTCTTACGACAAGCATAGTCGCCTTTTACGGCAAGCATGGGTTGCTCAAGACCTATTCTACCCCGGATCTTCACAGGTCTCAACAGTATTTCAGTATATTACCACACAGCAGCTTAATGTGAGAAGGAGACCAATGTTTACCACGTAGTTAAACAAGTACGGGTATGGTGCTGACAAACCCAGATTCTTAATCACGGAGAATCTGGGATTCGAACCCAAGTTCATAGTATCCTGGCGATCTTAAGGGACGTAATGTTGTGCAGCAACTTTTGGGGACTCTGGGTCAAGCGTGCTCCTATGACACTGAGAAGGAAATTTATATCTTTAATACCATATCCATCTGAATGCAACTTTTGTAAAAAACACCAAAAATATTTTTCATTTTCCCAATAATTATTTGGAACATTTTTATAGCATGGCTTCACTTTTTACACTTTGCTGAACTCATTGCGAGTATAGAACTGACCTCTATAATATATTTAGATGCAATTTTACACATCGGTGTATGATAATATAGAAAAAGAAACACCCACGTAAATAAAAGCGACAAAACCCTTTCCATATTCATAAGAAATATCCGCTTAGAGCAAAGTCGAATGTCGATATCATGACAACGTGCACTATGAAATAGTGATGACACCTGGTGTTCGTGAAAAGGTGAGCGAATCCTGCCCCACCTGCGATACTCAACACAAACACATGCAAAAGCTAGTCCGTTGTTTACCTGTGAAACGCACGCGAACATATGGTACAAGTCAAAATAAGGAATTGCATCGGACAACATTTTTTGTCATTGACGCGTCAAATTGAAAATGTCCTCCACATGTCCACTATAACACCTTAAAAGCTTTACTGAGGCCTTGAATGTTGTTACCGTGATCAAACAACTTTAAAGCAAGGATCGTATGACACTCTTTCAAATCTTCCTCAAAGAGCATGCTCGATTGGAGCTCAAAAGTTGTAAAGCGTCAAATTGAAAATGTCCTCCACATGTCCACTATAACACCTTAAAAGCTTTACTGAGGCCTTGAATGTTGTTACCGTGATCAAACAACTTTAAAGCAAGGATCGTATGACACTCTTTCAAATCTTCCTCAAAGAGCATGCTCGATTGGAGCTCAAAAGTTGTAAAGCGTAGACACCATAGGCTAGATGGCTGGTCTATTGCTCGACGTAACGGGAAAGTTGGCTTTTAGAAAGTTGAAGTCATCCATCTTGTCATACAGTCTTGTGGAGAGTGTTCGTGTCATTCTGAATCTTTATTCCTAGATCTAAACATGACAGCTGAGGCGGTTTCACTGTTCTCCTTTGTTCTAGTTCATTTCGGCACATTAGTGGAAGGGAATTGGCAATTTGACTCTCAATAAATAGCAAGAGTTTGGGAATCGGCTCGCTAAGCAGAGGTACCACTACACACGACGAACCCACACAACAACACAAAACCTGAATGAATAAACACTCATTTGACAGCCATAGAATCGTTATATAATCAATCAACAATAGAATGCCTACAATCAATTACAAGACCATGTTTACAATCAGTTACAGAAGTACATAAACGTTAAGAACATCACATGACCATGATATACTATTAGAATCATTACACAATACATACTACATTAGTCACCATACGTATTCCAAGGTACACAACGTTATACAACGGTATACATGTGATTTGAAATAATGTACCCTACATACTCCAATACATTACCCGAGTGGGCATTCGCTCAAGATACATTCTAGTTCAGCCACACTACATATTCCAAAAGGTAAACAACGTCATAAAGGTATCAGAATAATAATTAGGCCTAATCTATTTACAGCAGTATCACAGTGGTAATATCTACACACCTATGATATTTGCAATTACCAAATGGACTTGCAGGTATTGCCAAGGGTAATAGCATATAGTAAGATTTAACACAGTACAAGACAGTAACGTTTCGTTCCTGAGAGAACAAGCATGAAATACTCATATCCCCCCGCCAATATGACATGTCCGGTTGTGTGCAATGCATTAGCTCCTGTGATCTATGCTCACTGGGCCTTTTTGTAAATGGCCTAAATTGCAGAACTAGAAAAAGTTATTACTGGTGTTGTTTCCCATCTGCAGTTTATGATAGAATATGTAACTGTATTTGTAATGAGTAAGGATGAGACATATGGACGAACAACTTCTTTATTACAATTAGGATCTATGGTTTCTGTGTAGGTTCTAACACCGTTATCAAGCAAATGAAGTACAGAGTATGGTTTACAAGAATATATACAGGATAGGTCTAAGTCATTTTCAGTCTAAGTCAAAGTCGTTGCCATGGAAACTCGAATTTTTTTTTTTTTTAAATCCCAAACTATCAAGAGGCACCACAAGACCTATCTATGTTTGGTGAAGAAATATCGTACGCGACCGCGTCATACCAAAAGGCGTTAAAAGATGGTACTTGTTGTTACCCTGTCTGTCGCTCGGCATTAAGGGGCTAAAACAAGGACTGGTCGGCTCGGAGTCAGTATACTGTGTCTGAGTGGGGTATTCATGTTAAACTGCGTCATGGTATCTCAGTGAGCTAGCACTATAAATCGGCATCAGTCCGGACTAGTACAAGCAGCCACACAAACACACACACACGTACATGCACGTCGCTATATAAGTGCAATAATCGCGACGTTAAACCCCATTTCACCTCACCTTCACCTCTTTATCAACGGGACACGGGTGGCCCAGTCGTCTAAGGCGCCGCAATTCGCTGTACAGAGTTGCGACCCTTGGGCTCGCCAGAAACCTATGATTGTGGGTTCGAATCCCGGTTCGCCCCAATTATGTTTCTAGGTTTTGTCAGCACCATACCGAAGTGGTAAACGTCTGAGACCTGCATCACTTCGGGCTTTCCTCCCACATTAAGCTGACACGCCGTGATATAACTGGAATATTGTTAAAAGCGGCGTTAAACCCAACTCACTCTTTATCAACGAATTAGCTCAACAAATTCAGCAAAACTGTTCTGAAGGCACCCAGAAACTAAAAAAGTTATTTCTTCTTTTGTTTGCCGATGATAAAGTTATATCTACAAGCACAATACCTGGACTACAAATGCTACCTTGGCATCATCAAAGTTGACATTGAAGTGAAAGGTTATTATACACGTGATATTCGTAGCACAAAGTTCATGGCTTTAAGTTTTTGGTCATTTTGGTTCGTTGGTTTTGCAAATGTATTGTTATCTTGGAAATAGATACAAAGGCACTTATATTCAAGGACACATTCAAGATGATTTCATTTAAACTAATATGTTTTTTAAGTCGGACGCATCCTCCTAAAAATTATTACTTTTGTTTTATCGACATTTTGTAAGTCTTAAAGTTTTACAATATAAGTAAAAAAAGCTTTTTTTGATAGGACAATCAATACAATGTCCAGGGGAGCTCCCGGAAATGTGGCATCTTGAATACATATCACCGGATCCTGGTTGAACAAATACACGCAACTACGGACATCTTTCACATAATAATGCCAGTGGTAGAAACTGGTACATCTCTGCTGTGAGGTTCTGCAGTTGAAACTCAACCATAGTTAAAGAGCAGCCTATACATGTATGTTCCTATGACTATAGACCTGTGAAGATCCTTCAGCAATCCATGCTTGTAAGAGGCGGCTAACGGGATCGTGTGGTCAGGCCCGCTGACTTGGTTGATGCGCGTAATCGTATGTCAGGTGCGTGGATATCCGTGATTAAGAATATTGGTTTGTCAGCACCATACCCGTACTCGTTTCAGCACGTGGTAAAAAGACCCGTGAAGATCCGGGGTAGAATAGGTCTTCAGCAACCCATGCTTGCCGTAAAAGGCGACTATGCTTGTCGTAAGAGGCGACTAACAGGCTCGCTGACTTGGTTGATACATGTCATCGTATCCCGATTGCGTGGATCGATGCTGATGATATCAATCACTGGACTGGATTGTCTGTTCCAGACTCGATTACTTACAAACCGCCGTCATACAGCTGGAATATTGCTAAGTGCGGCGTTAAACAACAAACAAACCAATCATATGACTATACTCATGACACATTAACTAGCGATATGAAAAGATTGGGAGCCCTTTAACTGTCAAAATATATTGTCAAAAGGAGGAGTGAGTGAGTTGGGTTTAATGCCGCTTTTAATAGTATTCCAGTTATATCACGGCGTGTCAGTTTAATGTGGGAGGAAAGCCCGAAGTCGTGCGTTTTCCACTTCGGTGAAACCCACGAGCACGGGTATGGTGCTGACAAACCTAGAAACATAATCGGGGCTAATCAAGATTCGAACCCACAATCATAGGTTTCTGGCGTGTCCAAGGGACGCAACTCTGCACAGCGAATTGCGGCGCCTTAAAGGTCTGGGCCACCCGTACCGGCGTCAAAAGGTGGATGACATAACCTGCATACAAGCATCCTTAACCCAACCACATAATCGATATATAAGGAACTCTGTCCCCAAGATCGTATGTCCAGAAATAATCGGAATCACTTGTTCGTCTCCTTTTCTTTTGACGATCCAGATAACCATTGGGGTTACAATCTGCGCATGCGTTAAACCAAAATCCACTTCCAAATCTCACGGCGCAATTTTGGTCAGAATTGTCGTTATCTCGATCGTACGTGCTGAATGCGCAGTTTTTAAGTGGGGTTAAACTATCCCCCATCGCGTTCCTACCTATACCTTCCGAGTGTGAAAAATGCATGCGATAGTCATCTTTCTCGTTTGAAAGAGAGAAATGATAAAATCCCTGTTGCTTATAATCATTTGGGGTATTCTCAAATCTGATTTCAATTGTAAGCACCACTGTCCCTGGTTTACATATATGGTACATTTTCTCCAGCCCTAGCCAATGATCACCACCGAGGCGTCCAAAGCCGTCACGATATTCTGCCCAACTCCTGTTGAAAGGTTCCTGGAAGCTGTCCTTGCGCCATTGGATGATTGTTCTTCCTCCAAACCACATACGACAAAAAACTTTAAATGGCGTAGATGCAGACGCTGGTTGGATGAAGTATTGGCCGTGCCCGTAGCCGAATCCAGCAGCAAATCCTTCTTTGCAATCTGCAGAATATTGGTCAAATTTAGTATGTAAATATAAGCTTATCGTGATCCTTTGAAATCTCTGCTAAAATCAGTCTTCTTGTACGATTCCGACGATATCAAAAGCATGCGTTTGTGAATCACTATGAAATAGTGACGGTACTAGGTTTGCGCGAATAGGTAAGCGTATATATCTAGCTCCTGTCACTAACACATGCTAATTCAAGTCATTCGATCACCTAAAAACACACGGAGACAATTATAGCCAATATGTTAAAGATAAAATGGTGTTATAAACTAGCCACATGAAGAAACTGTGCACGGAGAAAATATAGATATAAGGGCACACCGTCCACATATGAAATATAGGTTTGAACACAGCAATTATTGGAGACATTCAAACGCTCATGCACGTGCCATGCGATATGACGTCATTGATGGGGGGCCTTTCGCTGTCACTTTGGAAAGCATGATCTGTGGTCATTCAAAAATTCAAAACTTCTCAGGCGCCTTAAACGATTGGGCCATCCGTGCCCCTTCTGGTCGTTTGAGGAAGTATGAAAAGTTTATGTTAAATGGATAGGTGCTTGATATTGTCTCCACATACAAGTATCTGGGTGTTCATATTGCCAGATCAGGGGGCACGGGTGGCCCAGTCGTCTAAGGCGCCGCGATTCGCTGTGCAGAGTTGCGTCCCTTGGGCACGCCAGAAACCTATGATTGTGTGTTCGAATCCCGGTTCGCCCCGATTATGTTTCTAGGTTTGTCAGCACCATACTCGTGCTCGTGGGTTTCACCGAAGTGGTAAACGTCTGAGACCTGCATCACTTCGGGCTTTCCTCCCACATTAAGCTGACCCGCCGTGATAAAACTGGAATATTGTTAAAAGCGGCGTTAAACCCAACTCAGTTAAGTTAAGAAGTTAAGAAGACTATGGTTAATTAATTATGGCTGATTGGGGGCGGTCGGGTAGCCTAGTGGTTAAAGCGTTCGCTCATCACGCCGAAGACCCGGGTTCGATTCCCGACATGGGTACAATGTGTGAAGCCCATTTCTGGTGTCCCCCGCCGTGATATTGCTGGAATATTGCTAATAGCGGCGTAAAACCATACTCACTCACTCATGGGTAATTGTCTTGCAAAGATACAATCTTATAATTGTGAGTGTTCTATATCTTGTTTTCGGTAGTATATGATGTTACAGTGTGTCATAAGGTTGTCCGTAAATGTTCTTTTTGACATTTGATGTATGTTTAACTTGAATTGTGTTTCTTGTCTTGTGCAAATCTACAAATATATGTACTTGCATATAGTAATTTGATAAACACCGCTGTGAGTGAGTGAGTGAGTGAGAATGGTTTCACGTCGCTTTTAACAATAATCCAGTAATATCACGGGGAACACCAGAAATGGGCTTCAGACATTGTACCCATGTGGGGAATCGAACTCGGTCTTCGGCTTGACGATCGAACGCTTTAACCACTAGGCTAGGTTGAGTTGAAAGATAAAGTTCGTGGTTTATGCAGACAGCCTGAAATGTTTATGTACGACAGATACATATTTCCCGAATTTAATTAAGGATTGACTGTGTATTTTTTTCGGTTCATTGAGGTATGAATCGAAAAACCGATGTGCAAACTGTATGAATCCCCGTAGCGGATTCTTACAAAAGTTTGCACATCGGCTTTTAGATTCATACCTCAATGAACCCAAAAAAAATACACAGTCAATGCTTATAATTAAATTCGACAACGTAAAACATGTTTTATCTACAATAGCTTAACCCAAAACAGTTGCATATATCAAAACAGACAAAAATGACGACATTGATCAACATTCCAGGTGTAGGAATACATACAGTGGCGTGACATGAATCAGGTGATCGTTTAATTTATGCACATAACTTGACACGCCTACACAGTCAGTAGCCAATCAACGGAGAGTGGGGTTAAAACAATGTTCATTGGACCTGTCAATTAAGGCAGGAGGCGATATATGGGCGAACCCGGGTCTTCGGCGCGACGAGCGAACGCTTTAACCACTAGGCTACCCGACCGCCCCCGTCTGTGTGATGAAGCTTACACGGTAAACCGTAATCTTAAGATGAAAATGCGTCACTTTTTTAATGCGAGCATGGGGCATTCGAATTTTTCGCTATAATTTCATGTTTTACAGTAAGTAAATATATCACACACATTTCATTAGTTTCATTGCTTCAGTATATGTGCATGTTATGTGTTGCGCGAAAATGGATCTTCAAGCATGCGGTCAAAGGCTCCTTTAATCTAGGCCACCTTCACCTACAGTAACCGATTTCTCATGATATCACGACAATCAGTCTTTTCCTTTGAGAAAAGGAGAAGAATACTTCTGAGAATACTTTAGCATCTTGTGATGTAAATCTTAGTCATGCCCACAATAAGACCAATTCTTCTTTAATGGAATGAATAAATGTGAAAAATAAACCGGAATATATCTCCGGAAGAGAAGTGGCAGTTTCGTTGACATTGTACTTACCTCTCATTAAACGCTGGCATTTTGAACCCACGTAACCATTGACACATCGACATCTCGAGTCGGACTGCAGAATACCGCCGTTCATGCATACTTTAACCTGAAATGTTAACCAAATACGATATGTAAACAATTTAACTCTGCACGTCTTTTCTGCTGATGCGGCGTCTCGGTCCTGTAACCATCAGGATGCGCTTAGATAGATGGTGGTCCTCCTTTGGCGTGGTCTCACGTGGTCTAGTGCTGCGTGACGTGGCCAGTCTGGTGCATTCGTGACCAACTCGTGTTATTCCGGGACAAGCCGAATAGCGACTCTTGCCCCTCTCGTGGAATTTTTTGCAACCGGGTTCCGTCTTAGCGCAAACGGGCATACCCAAAATAATTGTCAACTCGTCGCGTTATGGTTCACATATATTTCCCCATATATTATATATATTTCAGATGCAATTTAAAGCACATCTGGACATGCGGAATTATACAGTATGATTGAACACATTAACCTGTGCCTTTGGTATATTTTTAGATGCAAGACATATGTAAAATCAAAAATTATTTCTGAGGGATTCTTTGACGAAGAACTTGAAATCATGCGCGCATTCTGATTGGTTTGTCGTATTTTCGCACATAACATTCATCGATAGGGGGACGAGTCTTCTTGCAGGTTACGGAAAGGGGCGAGTGGTGACGAATGCAGTCGGTTAGTTCAGTCTGGGTAACTATCTCTTATACCCTTTAAACTTTCACGTAGTTTCTCACTTAGGTCTGACCGCCCAAAATGTGTAGAAAGGGACGTAGCACTAGACATACATTAAGGAACCAATTTTCGACCTCAGTATCTCTTAGATAAGCATGCACATTTAAATGCATGTGACTTCAGTAGTCCTGAGAAAACTTGTCCCCAAAGATTCTACACCTGGACATTTGATTCAGAACAATGGCCAAACAGTCATAATGTCCACGGCAACCTCACTTAACGAATGATGAACATTTAACAAAATTCCACAATGTGTTGAAACATGCATAAGAAGCTAGGGCAAATGACAGCGTCTGATTCCGTGTGACGTCATCTCCAAGCATGCAGCAGGATCTGCTGAGCGTGGGTTCGAGTCCAAGACGTGGCCGGATTACTATCACCCGTCTGTCATCATCACACCTGATTTGCAGCGTGAAGTAAGTTTCCTTTAACCAAGGTATTAAAGCCTATTTACTGTTTAACACTGTATAATTTCTTTTGATTGGCAGAATATTTTGATTTTCAGCCATATATATATATATATCTGTTTTTGGAAAGGTACGATTGCTAATATGATTTTCAGCTGCATGCGTTGGCTTTACACAGACTCTATGTGAATATTTCATTATTGCTGAAAAAAAAGATCAGAATTTTGCCAAAAGTCCAACGAGAAATCTGTAGATAAAACTGGGGTAAGGTAAAACTGAACATGGCAATTTGACTTTTTTGACGAACCTTTTTTTACGCGAAACTTTTGTACAAGGGAGTTGAAAATGCTTGCCTTTTAAAACGTTGACACATGAGACTGTGTTCGAGTCCTATTTTCGCGGTGATGACGTTTCTTAGTTTGCAGCCTTACACCCGTGTTAGTGAGTTCAACAGAGTGGTACAACATCTGAGACCTGCATCAATCTCGGCTTACCTTGTAAACGCCGCAGTATAACTGAATATTGTGCAGGGGGTGTTTAACCAAAGGCACTCACTTACTCCAATTGTCGGACATATAAATCGAGCCGGCTTAAAGTGGGGATCGGGTCGAAAGGCTCCGTCAGTTGTCTGAATGCGTACCATCCTACCCAGTAGCGATACTCGTTGGTTTCAATCAGAGGTCTGGTCCATCTATCATTTGAAGCTTCCCGTCACCGGTAAATATTAAATAGTAAACGACAACGTCAGAGAAATTAGCCACCGAAACAGATCCCATGGGTTGTAGAAGGGAACATAGCGGTAAAAATTATATAAATGGATCAATGAAATTCAGTGATGGCGTCGTGTTTTTGCGAGAACCGGTCCTGCCCTACCGGCAGCACCCGCCAAAACAAAATTTGCATAAAGAGGTGAGTGGTTGTTGCACGATACCGTGTAGAAGTACTACTCCTTTGCGACGGCATGTCCTCAAACAAAACGGGGGCGGTCGGGTAGCCTAGTGGTTAAAGCGTTCGCTCGTCACGCCGAAGACCCGGGTTCCATTCCCGACATGGGTACAATGTGTGAAGCCCATTTCTGGTGTCCCCCGCCGTGATATTGCTGGAATATTGCTAAAAGCGGCGTAAAACCATACTCACTCACTCACTCACTCCTCAAACAAACCAACCAGTCTTTACTTTACGTTTATTTTGAATTGCGTCTATACAAATGCAGATATTCTGCTGCTTATAAATGAAGACAAATGCTGTAAGAAATGTGTTTTTCGCAACTCAGAGAGAGGGGCAGTAATATCTCAACCCAATCCTTACATGTTTGTAGCTTAACTGACTCATGAGTGTATGATTAAACTCGGGGACCAGACCAGATTACACAACCAATTAATACAACACGACACGAGTAACATATATATGTGTTACTTGAGTAAGAATATGCTTACCCTTTTCTCGAACACCCGGTGTCATCACTGGTTTTCATTCATATAAACTGACGATCTTACGTAAGAAGGGGGACACGTGAAGATTCCGGGGTAGAATAGGTCTTCAGCAACCCATGCTTGCCGTAAAAGGTGACTATGCTGTCGTAAAAGGCGACTAACGGGATCGGGTGGTCAGGCTCGATGACTTGGTTGATGCATGTCATCGATCCCAATTGCGTGGATCGATGCTCATGATATCAATCACTGGATTGTCTGGTCCAGACTCGATTATTTACAGACCGCCGTCATAGAGCTTGAATATTGCTGAGTGCGGCGTTAAACAACATACCAACCAACCAACCAACCAACCAACATAAGAAGGGATACCGAATTTCGGTTGGTGAAATATGTAGTTTACGTTTATAAATGGTCATGGTATTGTTCGACAGAAGTTAAGAAATAAAAACTCGTCGCAAGGAAATTAAGGCAATGAGCGCGTGCAAAATGCCGTTGTGAAGTAAACAAGCAATGCACGCGAAGCACATAAAGTATAAAAACAGTGCCTTGGTAAATGAACGTTAGCAGTCAATAGTAAAATACCGGAGAAGGTGAGGTGAGATGAAATGGGGTTTAACGTCGCGTCCAAGATTATTGCACTTATATAGCGACGTGCATTCACGTGTGTGTGGCTGCTTGTACTAGTCCGGACTAATGCCGATTTATAGTGCTAGATGTCTGAGATACCATGCCGTAGTTTAACATGAATACCCCAATCAGAAACAATATACCGACTCCGAGCCGACCAGTCCTTGTTTTATCCCCTTTATGCCGAGCGCCAGGCAGGGTAATAACAAGTACCATCTTTTAACGTCTTTTGGTAAGAAATCCGGACCTTCCGCTTCCCGGGCGGACGCTCTACCACTAGACCACGGAGGCGGTCACTACAAGCATAAGAGTTCTGCATGTACAGGTGTCTATGCCACTCCCGTATCTATGCACACAATCAATCATAATGAACAAGGAGGAGATAGTTTAATCGGGTTCATCTAACAAGTCAACTAATAGTTCTTTTGAAGTGTACTATATTTTTCTGAATAAACGAGTTGTTTTTTGCCACACAACACAAATACAAGCACACATTCACATTTAAAGTAAGGTTCGTGGAAACGAACTATTAATGTGATCTCCGTGAATCTGTAACGTGAATTAAATGCATCAGAGGATTTACTGAGACGTATAAACTTTAACAGTTTGGTTTTGTTGCGCAAAATACAGTTTCTGTCCACAGCGAAACAAACCGAATGGTTTCTCAATACCATCCTGTGATGTCAGCAACTTTTAACGTCTAATGGTATGACCCGGCCGGGGATCGAACCCCGGACCTTCCGCTCTCCGGGCGGACGCTTTACCACTAGACCACGGAGGCGGTCAAAATACTAAAGAACACAGCAAGGCTAACTGGTGAACAACGAGAGAGAGAGAGAGAGAGAGAGCAGTTGTGAGAGAGTGGGGCAACTTACCCGCACTTCGCAAGCATTATGCACTGTACGAAAACGACAATCACCACGTTGACGCAACGTTAGGGGGACTGGCGGAGTGAGTGATTGAGAGAGTGAGTTGGGTTTAACGCCGCTTTTAACAGTATTCCTATTACATCACGGCCTCTCAGCTTAATGTGGGAGGAAAGCCCGAAGTGATGCAGGTGTCAGACGTTTACCACTTCGGTGAAACCCACGAACACGGGTATGGTGCTGACAAACCTAGAAACATAATCGGGGTGAACCGGGATTCGAACCCACAATCATAGGTTTCTGGCGTACCCAAGGGGCGCAACTCTCCACAGCAAATCGCGGCGCCTTAGACGCCTGGGCCACCCGTGCCCCCGACTGGCAGAGCTTCAGATAGGCCACGAGGGGGAAGTCGTCACGTCACAACAGCCATTGAGGACCGCTATCTCACCACCTTGCATCTAAGGTACATAACATATTCCTCACAGCGACGTCATCTACACAGACGGCGCTTAGACGTGTTACCCGTCGATCACCCTATACGTTGCCGACTTGGAGAGCATGGCATCAGGGCCTATCGGCCATTCGGAAGAATGGTGTTGACGAGGTAACATCGGCTTCGACGTTTGCAAGCTCCTCACAGCGATAGCCCGTTTGCGGAGCTCACTATACTATCGCTGCCACCAGTCAAAACTCCCCACTGTGATAGGTGGCCCCAACCATGCTTGGAGTTGAACTCGCAACCGAATGACCGTTCTGTTTACAAACAAGTGACGACTGTCGTGACGCCGAATACACTTATCACTGCTAAATTACTTTCTTCGTTTGTCAATTTGAATTTCTATTTCATTAAAACTATCATGTAATTGATAAAGTGAGAATGTAAGAGAGATGTTGGTTGATCATCCGCTAGTCTGCAATCTCGAACCAATCTGATTATGCAAACAACAAAGTAAATTCATCTGGAAAACATGTCAGTCGTGAACCTTTTCAAAATGAAATATGAAGGCATTCCCAAAGACATAAACAAAAGTATAAACGTAACTACATATGGGGTTGGAGGCCAAATTTCAAGATTCTTGTAATGGGATCTGATGAGATCCGACGGAATACCTCGGCTCCTTGTTGTATTCACTTGACGGTACCCTTTGTCAGTGTGCTAGTTTCGTGTAGGACATGTGTTCGACAGAGGACAGAACTGATGGTCATTGATGGAAATCTTAATGCCCAG